TACTTCGCGCACGCGAACGATTATATTATTTATATTTCGACGCGAATAGCGCGCTTTCCGGGTAAACGACACGAGGTATGCAGCGTCGCATTAAAAGAAAAAAAGGAAAAGAGAGAGAGAAAAAAAGGATAAAGGGAGTTCGGATCGCTCAATCACACGGCGTCATATGAAAGGCTGACAGGCGAAGGAGCATAAATACGCGCAAATTACATTATCCGCGAAAGCAGTTCGGCGTGATGATACGGCCGCGAGAATTATGGATCGATCCCGCCCAGAGGGTATGTATTTTAAACGCCGCTCTTCCCCTTCTTTCCCTCCCTCACCCTCCCTCTTTCTCTCTCCGTCCTCTCGATTCTCGGCACTCGGGTTGTTAAGATTCACGTAATGATATGGATCATTCGAAAGATCGCTTCGCCGGCATCGTGCTTTCTCCGTCGGCAATAAATGCGCCCCCCCGTCCTTCCTTGCGCCTTATTATTCGGAGACTTATTTTCCTCGAGAGATGAATCATTTCCGAAAATAGCCGGCACGTGATAATACAAGCTTCGAATTATATATCACATCGGCCTTTATCTCGGTCTTTTTTCCCGCTCGACGACACACGAGTGTCCGCTGATTAATCTTCGATTAATTCCAATTGTTTTAATTACTAGAAATTATTCGATCGCAAGGTGTTTCCGTGTTATTAAGGAAGAGGCGCGCGATTAAGTGACATTTCGTTCGAAATTAATCCCCGGTAATGGGATAAACGGAGCGATGAGCGCGAAATGCGAAAGAATTAAATTAAATTCCAGATAGAAGTTACCATCATGTTCGCGGCGCATCGCGCACGCAAGAATGTAATTGCGTTGTAAATAGTTGGCAGTATGCCAAACGGCCGTGCCTTGAAAATTTTGTTTCTCGCTTTATACTCCCCGCTTTACGTTATAATCTAATAAAACTCGGCGCGCGGGGAACAGAGAACGAGAGCCGAGAGGGGCAATTCTGTTGCGCGAAATGTCAATGGAACGAAATATTCATTATTTCGAAAAGCGATTGATTTCCGCGCCAACAGCGCTGCGCTATGAATAATTCGATATAACAAATATTTCGATATAACAAACTCGCTTTGAGACCCCGGTGGAATTTATCGCGAGGGCGTTCTATATTGCACCTTTATGGAGGTCGATTTTTCCGCGAATAACAGTGATTGTTCGTACGAACAATCGTTCGCAAATTTTATGTTGCACAGCGGAGTATTTGATCTGAAAAGTTGGCCGAACGTCGATTTTCTCAAAATTGTTTGCGCTATATACAGATGATTGCCTGAAATAGTTAAATAGATGCGGAAAATAATCGACCATCTTCTTTTCATTCCGCGATAACACAAGGTTTAATCGGAATTTGGATGTCGTTCGCGATGCATGCAGTAGTTTTCGGCGCTCTCTGAAACCGCGATGTTTCAAAAACAGTTTTAAGAGTCTCGAAAGTGGCAGCGCAAAATATTTCATTATGGATTGTTCTAAGGAGGGTGTGTGAGGGTGTATGTGCGGAAACGTTTTAGACGATTTTTATTATTCGAATTATATTGTTATTCACGTAGATTTACAGCTCCGGAAATAGCATTGAGTCGTGTATCTTTTTGCGTTCTCAATGTCGAACTCGAAGGATTTAGTTGTACTTTAAAGTATGTCCGCATAATGTTTCTTGAAGGAGTTATCTGTCTGGAAGTAATATCAAAATTAGCCGCGCAGAATCACGGATGTAGATTTAGTAATTTTTTTTTGCTTTTTCAAACGTAAGGATAGATTTTTCCAAGGATACACAAAGATACAACAAAAAAATACGGTACTGTTCCTTTCTAATTTTGATAAGTTTATTACATATATATGTATTACACGCTATTTTGATTATAAAAATATTTTTACATTTCGTTTTTATTTTATACCATGAAAACTATATAAAACCTTTATAATGAGCATTCATATAATTAGTAGCACGTTTTAAGTCAGAAGAGAACAAAAAATAATATCAACTTTTTAATACAAATATTCTACTGTGCGTCGCTCGGCGTTGACTTTGTGGCGTAACAGTCATCGTAATCGTCATCGTTGTCGTGAAATCAACCTTTCATGGAAATTATTCGCCGAAGTCGAATGAAACGCGACGTAATATTTGCTGAAATTTCCGGCGCTTTTAGTTTCGAGAGTTTACCGTGATTGAATCATGAACTTAGTCATCTTATTACGCGCAACATGAGCTTTCTGGACGAGCGAACCATGGTAAAAGCTCCGGGGCAAGCAAGGAAGTCCGAGCGCGCGACTATCGATTGTACACACCGTGCCTCCGTAACGTTTCTATTTTCTCAACAGTGGTTTACACTTTGCCGGCGCACCGACGGTGATATTAGTTGAGCGAGTTCGGTGAAAGAGTAGCGTTCCTTCGCACGCGAGCGAAGGGCGCGCAACCCTCCGTCATCGCGTGCTCGCGAACGGAAGAATAGTTTTCCGAGTAATCTTATGGAATGTAAGCGAACCACCGCCTTCTCTCGCGCCTCTAACCGTTTCCCGGAACTTACAACGTAACGCAACTTTTTCTCGAGCGGAAGCCGGAGGTCTCGAGAGGAATTCGATCGGATCGTATCAGGATAAGCCGCGCTTTCAATTGTCGGGACAATCGCTTTTTTTTGTAAACGGCGCCGCGTCGAAGTCGTAAACTTCCGCGAACGATCGACGAGTGCTCATAAAAATTGCCCACGACTCTGGCTGTAGACGAGGGATACGGCATGAGCAGTGTTTGCCTTAGATGATTTCAGATTCATCTAGATGAAGATGAGATGAAAATCCGAAAAATCATCTTAGATGAGATGAAGGTGGTTTTGCTTTTAATTTATCTAGACGAAAGAGATGATAAGTAGCGCTACTTATCTAGATGATTTTTTAATGATACTGTTAGAGACTTTATAAAAATTTATAATAAAAATTACGCAGATCATAAAAATGCACAATGGTTAAGTAATTCGTCAACGTATTCACTCTAAAGTTAAGGATAACAAAAAAGACCAATAATCATTAACTGTTCGTTCATTGCTGTGTTTTCTGAACACAGTCATTATTTCAGTATTCTTCTGTAAAGACTACTGACTACTGACTGTGAAGGCCGATCTGACTGGCGGTTACGACTGTCGACTATCGTAGTGGAGCGTCATGTAACTAGTTGATTCTAATTGGTCCATTAAGAATTGGCAGTCGTAATCGGCAGTCGAACCGGCCTTCACAGTCGATAGTTTGATACGGATTTAAAGTGAAATGACCAATTGAAACAAATGGTCTGTTTTTTTTTTATTGCACTGCTGAACTGGTGCAATAAGTTAGAACGAGACAAGTATATTTTGTCTTGCTCTAACTTATTGCATCTGTTCAGCAGTGTAGTTAAGAAGAACAGACCAAAGGAGACAAAACCGAAATTTGTTGATTCGTTGAAATCTAATCTCTAATCCCTAGTCTGATATAGACTTAACGCGTAAGTCTATATTATTTCATTCATTTTGTCGAAAAGTGAGTTCAGAATATGGACAGCATTTCAGATAACTTTTAGATAAGATAACATGTCTTTTGTATCTAACATGAAGATTAATATATTTTGTATTTCTTCCATCTAAATGAAGATAATCTATTTATTCGTCTGGGTTATTATTTAGATAATTATATATATAATTTAGATTATTTTATCTAGATATCGGCAAACATTGGGCGTAAGGCATTCGTGATCGATGCCGATGCGAACGTTCGAAAGAAGTAGGATGAGTCGAAGGGCGGTGAGAAGGACGCGCGAGGGGGGGGGGGGATGAGCAAGAGAGAGCGTTCCCNTCCCTCTTCGTGGAGGCAGCACTTCCGGTCCAGCTATATTTAAGTCGCTCCTAGTAAAGAAGAGGAACCGCAAGCGGACGTAGTCCGTAAACTCTTTGTATCCGAAATGTTTTGTCTGCGGCGTCTTAGACGTCCGTAAAAACACATCGTTACTACGTGGACGAAACCAAATACATAGGAAGCTTCACCAAATGACGACCGCTCGTGTTCCCCTTCGATGAGAGAGATTTTTTGCTCTCGGTAAAAACGCGAAACGAAAGTAACGTCCTTCGTTAATCGGCAGTTAATCTTTCATGCGCGCGCGGAACGCGGCTGGTACCGGTTTTATCGTATTGATTTCTGAAAGCTGAGGTATGCACATCGTATTGTATAATTCGTGTTAAATCTCGCGCGTGCGTGCGTGCGTGCGTGCGTGCGTGCGTGTGTGTGTGTGTGTGTGTGTGTGTGTGTGTGTGTGAATAAATATCAGCGTTTTCTATTACCTTACAACATATATTGTACATAATATTGTACATAATATATGTTGTAAGGTAACAGAAAACGCTGATATTTATTCATTTTATGCGTATTGTATCAAATTGGTTATTGTTTCTCAACGTCGGATATGAAACACGTTTAATGGATCGAGAAATTGTTTGCACAAAAGTCAAGTTTACAGTAAAAGGCCATATCAATTAATACATTGATAACACTGTCATGAGATAATCGGCGAACTGTTTGCGTCCAAACGCTTTTATTTGTTGCCGTACACCATGGCTAGTCAGATTTTGATATAACAGGATGGCGATACGTAATGTCAAACTCGTTTGACGTACATCCGGAATATATCGGATGGCGTAGTTACTAACATTTTCGCGATTAAATACTGATATATTTATTCCTCTGCCCTCCCCCCNTCTACATTCCTCTTCTCTGTATTCCGGTAACACTCCGGTCCGTTTGTGTATGTGTGTGTGTAAATATGTGGCCCCGTATTTACCATTTATGACTATCATTTCATGAATTTGAACATGTAAAATCCAATAATATATACGAGAGAATAGAGCGAATTTAGGCTGCGGCATTGTTTCATGCGCAACATAGTACCTGCGAATTACGACATCTGGAGTTTATACAATTCATCGAACGCGCTCTTTCTTTTTCATGTGCAGCTCGTGGGCGGCGAATTCGACATGGAGCTGAATTTCGTGATACAAGACGCACAGAACATCAGGCACATGCTGGAGCTTCTCGATCATTGCCCACCCAATCTCCAGGTAAACGAACGACACAACGTTATAAATTAAATCGAATTACACGTGGAAAATATCCGGCATTACCCAACAAGAATGTAGCGCAAAATACGCGCAAGCGGGCAAACCAGTCAGTATTGCAATATCAACAATTGAAATTGAGAACCTGTTATATATGTACGAGGGCGGTCCGATAAGTACTTAGCCTACAAAAGAAAAACGAAAATTTTGGAAAAGTGGCGATTTATTTCTCAACATAGTCTCCTTTTAGCTCGATACATTTGACCCAGCGATGCTCCAACTTCTTTAACCCATCTGAAAAATACGTTTTCTATCATAAAAAGCAAGTGATATATTTAAGATGCTTAAGTTAGATAAGACACTCTGTGTACAAATTTCAGATTAATTCAATCAATCTTGTCCGTGTACAATTACAAATTGAAATATCGTGTTTTCAATTCGAATATTAACACATCACTCAATAAGTCTACGGTCTAGCTAAGAAAAACAAATTTTTTTTTAGAAATTCGACTTTATTCGTCAATATACTCTCCTTCAAGAGTGATACATTCACTCCAACGCTCCTCTAACTTTTCGATGCCTTTTTTGTAGAACGATTTGTCTTTGCTCTCAAAATAGGTCTCAGTTTCGGCAATCACTTCTTTATTTGAGCCATATTTCCTTCTCTGGAGCATCTTTTTGATGTCTGCAAAAAGCCAATAGTCGCTGGGGGCCAGATCTGGAGAGTACGGTGGGTGGGGAAGCAATTCGAAGCGTAATTTATTTAATTTAACCGTCGTTTTCATCGACTTGTGACACGGGGCATCGTCTTGGTGAAACAGCACTTTTTTCTTTTGCATGTAAGGCCGTTTTTTCTTTATTTCTACACTCAATCAATCCAATAATGCCATGTAATATTCGCTATTGATAGTTTTACCTTTTTCAAGGTAGTCGATGAACAAAATACCATGCGCGTCCCAAAATACGGATGCCATAACCTCGCCAACTGACTTTTGAGTTTTTGGTCGCTTTGGATGACTTTCACCGGCTGCTGTCCACTCAGCTGACGATCTTTTTAATTCAAGTGTGTAGTAGTGGATCCATGTTTCATCCATTGTCACATACCGACGCAAGAAATCCTTTTTATCTCGCTTGAACAGCTCCAAACAGCGCTCTGAATCGTCGACGCGTTGTTGTTTTTGGTCCGGTGTGAGCAAACGCGGCACCCACTTCGAAAACAACTTACGCATGCTCAAATTTTCGTGTAAAATTGTAAACACACTACCTTCTGATATCTTCAAGGTGTCAGCTATCTCACGCAACTTCACTTTATGGTCTTTCAAAACTATTTTGTGGACTTTTTTTATGTTTTCTGGAACAACTGCCGATTTCGGGCGACCAGAGCGTTCAGCATCATCGGTGTTTGTACGACCGCGTTTAAATTCAGCATACCAGTCAATAATAGCTGACTTCTCTGGTGCAAAGTCTCCATAACGCTTATCAAGCCACTGTTTGGCTTCAACAGTATTTTTCCCCATCAAAAAACAATGTTTAATCAACACACGAAATTCTTTTTTATCCATTGTTTTGAAAATTACAAAACTGGGGTCACTAAAACCACTGTAACCTGTAAACTAATTATCAGAATGTCATGAAATTTTGGCATGTATCGTTTGAAGGATGCTACTATCCAGAAATCATATGGGTTTGTCAACAGTGTTGCCATATATGTGTCAGACCGGAGACTTATTGAGTGATGTGTTACAATTGTTCGAATATTCTCATAGTTTTCTCATAGTTTTTATGACTCTAATTGGCAAAATCATAACTATTTGTACTCTTTTTCTAATTAAAAATCAATTTCTGTTTGAACATGCATTCTCATAATGCGACGCTTTGTGAGCGTTCGTATTGTATGATAACAATTTCGCGATGATATCCAACGACGTCCAGCCGTCTAGTTTATCAAATGAAACCGTCCAGCCTTCTAAATATCCAGTCTCGATAACGACCAACTGTCATTGTCCCCACGTCAATCGCTCTTCACTCACTACACTTCACTTTACTCCGCTGCATTAGCGACTGTAATCATTTTAATGGGGCTGAATGAGTACGAGAAAAAATGTACATAAAATTCCGGTGACTTTCACATTCGCGAGTGGTATGTAAATAATTACAAAAAAAAAAACATCACGGCATTTTCGGTGCGATTGATAGAAAGGGAGGAAAATATCCTCCTGGCTGAGGTAATTTTTCGTATCACTCAGTACAAATTTAAATTTAACAATTCTAGAGGTTGAGTTAATAAAATTATATTAAAACAATAGAAATAAAGGATACGCTTGAAGCGTGTAAAGATTCTCTGCGCTAACCGGATGGTAATTTTATCGTTAATATGATGATCTAACGTTATTACACGTTCGAATATTATATTTCTTCATAGACATATTAATATCGACAATATTAATATTTAAATGGTATTGTAATATATTCGTACTTTAACTCCTGATGACCTTCGTTATATTCCGTTTGTAACGACGCATCCCCCCTCGGCGAACATCGCGACCGACCGAACACCAGTCGGCGCTTAGCGCCACATAACATCTCCGCACGCGACACACACGTGAAACACGTGTACACGCCAATAACAACAATCGTTGTTATTAAACAACGGGGCGTGCCGGAAAACACGGCAAAAGCCGTATAAAAGGCCGCTCCGCCGTGGTAAAGAGGCCGAGTCCGCCGGAGTCAGCCGGATTGAAAGATCGCCAGCTGCTCCGGGTGCCGATCTCCAGGTCGAGGAACCGCGACGTCGTCACAACTGTGAGTTCGCAGCCGCACTCGACTTCCTTTCCTTCCGGCAAGCCCGGATGCAATAATGTTGACGCTGTCTCTCCCGTGGAAGTCGCGGGCGTCGGACTCGAAATACCTTTCCGGGACGATGAGTTCGCCGTCTCCACCGGGAGTTCCCGGCCTTCTCGCTCGTGACGGACCTGGGAATAGGGACGACGAGTATGGATGGTGCGTTCGCCGTCTCGGTCGAGAATTCTCCACCTCGCCCGCTCCACTCCAGTCAGCGGGCATTGCGCCTCTGGGACAAGCGAACGCCCCGGACTTTCGCGCCGCGCGGCGAGCAGATGGAGCGCGTCTGCCCGAACTCCAATCCGCACCTCACTGAAGGTATCGCCGAAACCCGTCGACCGCCACGAACGATACCGTAAAGCCTCCACGTGCACGTCGGCCGGCCCGGACGAGCCCTCCGCTCCGGGGCTCGAGCGACGCGCGCACTCTGCGTGCAGCAATACCCGCGTCCTGTAATACCGCGAGCCGCGAATGCATCCCGCTGCATGCGCATCGACGCGAACCGCGAGATTTTCAAGCATCGCGACACGTGAACCGTCGATATACGAGGTCTATTCAAAAAGTAACGCGAATTTTGAATTTCCGCGGGTTACGTATACTCGATTTTCGATTTTTTGTGGCGTTATGTTGGTACTCATGTCCCTCACTTATGCCGACAAGTTCGGCCATTTTGAATATTCAGTTTATCTTTGACAGCTGTTTTGCTTGGACGTGTTTTGGCTCGTCTTCGATTTTTGCCTATTCCAAAAAATGGATCAAAGAATCTGTATGAAATTTTGTGTGAAAAACAAAATTAAGTGCGCGGACGCATTCCGAATGTTGACTGTGGCATATGGTGAAGCTACCTTGGACCGAAGCAACGTTTATCGGTGGTACAAAATGTTCTCAGAGGGCCGAGAAGATGTGAACGACGAAGAGCGTGCCGGACGCCCGAGCACGTCAACAACAGACGAAAACATTGATGAAGTGAAGAAAATAGTATTGGCCAATCGTCGAATCACCGTTAGAGAAGTTGCTGAGGACCTAAACATATCGATTGGCTCGTGCCATTCGATTTTTACTAATGATTTGGGCATGAGACGGGTCGCCGCGAAATTCGTACCAACGCCCCTGCTCACACATCGTTGCTTGTGCGCGAATTTTTGGCCAAAAACAACACACTAATGATGCCGCAGCCACCGTATTCCCCAGACCTGGCCCCCTGTGACTTTTTCTTGTTGCCGAAACTGAAGAGGCACATGAAAGGACGACGCTACGCTACGATTGAGGAAATAAAGACGGCATCGAAGGAGGAGCTGAACAAGATCACAAAAAATGATTTTTTGTAGTGCTTCGAGGATTGGAAAAAACGTTGGCACAAGTGTATAATATCTGATGGGGATTACTTTGAAGGAGACAAAATAGATATTCATGAATAAATAAATAATTTTTGAAAAAACACAAAATTCGCGATACTTTTTGAACAGACCTCGTATAAACACGCCGGAAGCAAAACACCGTCACCGCGAGCGTCACGAGCCAAGCGAGTCGTGAGACACTCATTATCCCGCGAACCTCGATATGGCCGAATTGCCGACTACAACCTGTCGAAACACAATACCAAGAGACACAGGGGCAGCGTGTCTGAGTCTGTCGGCGTAATATTGACATCCTATTCGATAGATTTCAAGCACGGCCCGATGTCACGAAGTCTGTACCGAGAAACGTGAGGAATTAAATAAATAGCAATTACTGAACACTCGCATCTTCACTCACTCGCCCTGACGAACGCCTGGGAAAACCGGCATCGCACCTCGAAGTACCGAGCACAGAGGCGAAAAACTACCGACCGGCGGGGTCCGAGTCACACGTTTTTACCATTTTTCAAACATACGGAAATTTCGGAAAATATCCCATTCTGTGAACACACATATTTTATCGCTAATTAAAGTTCTTGTTTTTCAATTATCCCAACTAACAAATGAACAGTAAATATGTATGCTATACTGAATATAATTAATGCAATTTAATTTCGACCGAAAGGAGATTTTAACTCACATGCAAAAGTTTTAGGAATTTATTCATGACAGTTGCACAATTTATTGCAAACGAAGTAAGCAAAACGATTTTCACATACTTTATTAGCGTAATTCTGATGCGCATTTGCTGTTTCAAATAATTAG